TTAAATATATAGTTTCTGAAATCATGAAAACTAATTAACTTGTTTTCATAAACTACAATAACTAAGTTATAATTAACTCTTAATTATATTTAGCTGCGAGAAAAGAAGAAGAAGGTTAAGTCACAATCATAGTCCTAGCTTGTCTCTAGTTAGTTCTCGTCTGTAAATGATAAAGAAAATATAAATACTTTGCACTCAGGGGTGGCCCAGACAGAGACCATTCTTCCTCCATCATAACACCTTCAAATTACAAGTTTTGTTTCCATTGGGAACATTGCAATTCTTTATTCGTAATTTTTTTTTTCCAGAAAATGAATGATCATACTCGTGATCAAAAGATGAGTAAATTATAAATTAGTCTTTAGTTTTGAGAAATGAATTGATTAGTATTTATTTTAAAAATTAATTATTATTTTTTTCATAAATTTTATATTTTTTCTAATTTATTTTATTTGTTTACTTTATAAAATTAAAATAAAATAAAAATAAATACCGTAGAAATACCAATGAGAAAAGATTTTTTTCATATAAAATAATATTAAGTTAAATATAGTCAAGAGATTAAACAATTAGTTTTTTTTAAAAACATGTGAGCTTAATTATTTCATAAAACTGAGGAACTAAATTTTAATTAACTCATCAAAAAGACAAAGAAGGAGCTTAACCCCGCTAACAAACCAACAAGAAAAATCTACAGCAGGGAAAAAAAAATAGAACTTAAACTCGATAAACAATTGAGCACTGCAAGCCAAGTAATGAAACTGTGCTTAGAGATATTTTGGGGCCCCCCAGACAAGCTTGAACCACCGCATTCTAACGCCTTTGCCTCTTAGAGCCTCCATGTGCTTTTAGAGGAAAAATTGAGCTTCCATATAATTTGATCATCAGTTGCAGAAGGGGTAATAAGGCTACTGGCACATTGAATATCAACAATATTCTCAGACCTTGCACCAGGCCATCACGAGGAATAATTTACAACAACATCAGCAACTCTATAAGTAGAAGATAGCCTAGCTTCATAAGCAATCCCAGGGCTATATGTTTTAGATAGAAGGCCAAGAGGCAATCAGCAATCCCCCCACAAATGGGTATATTTGCCATTCCCAACAATAAGCTCAATGAAATTCCAAGCAGCATTACGAAGGTTGAGACTTTTTCTCCAATTCCAAGAACAATCAACTGGAATTTTTAAGGCCCCATATGCTGGTTCCCTTCAATTTGTAAGCATGAATCCATGCCACCCGGAGAGACCCCGACTTCATTAACAAACTCGAAATATTCCTCATAATAACTGCAGCATTCCACTCTTTCGATTTTCTCAAACCCAAACCCGCTTCTTGTTTAGACGAAGTCAATTCATCCCAAGCAAGTTTAGCTCCACTAGCTGAACCCTCGATCTTTTCCCTTCCATAAAAAAGCATTGCAACTTCTGCTCAATTGCTTTGATAACATGCGAAGGAAGAACAAAGATAGAAATGTAGTAATTTTTAACGCTAAAAAATCACTGAAGAAATTAGCGGTAAGTCTTCCTGCAAATGAGAGAAGCTCAGAGGCCCAGTGCTGCATGCTTGAGGTAATTTTCTCCAAAAGAGGACGACCACAATCAGAGAAGCTGAGCTTTCCGGTGATGAGAGGGACACCAAAATCTCTAACTGGCAGATTGCCAAACCTGAAGCCAGAGCTATGCAAATCATCAGCAAGAGAATCAGATATGCCGGCACAAAAAAGGTCACATTTAGAGGCATCTTAGAGCAGAGATAATATAAATTTTTGCAACACAGAAGTGACATTCCTGATGGACTTCAGATTCCCTTTAGTAAAAATCATAAAGTCATCAGCAAAGCACAAGCTTGCAATGTGGATAAAAATCAATACTTCCTTGGGCAGCTGCTTCATCAATAAGACATGTCAAAACCTCCATGACAATTACAAGGAGATAAGGGAGAGGGGGATCCCCTGTCTTAAGCTTTTCTTGCCCTTGAAATAGCCACACAAACTACCGTTGATTGCACTACAAAACCTAGATGAAGAAATACAAGCTCTGATCCAGTTAAGAAACTGAGTGGGAAAGTTCATAGCTTCTAGCACCTTAAACGGAAAATCCCAATGGATAGAGTCGAAAGCTTTCATTATATCAATTTTTATAGTGCAAGGAGTAATATTCTTCCTCTGATAACCCTCAACCACTTCCTGGGTCAACATCACGCTGTTCCCAATCCTTCTACCTTAAACAAATGCAGATTGATTTTGACTAATAAGAGAAGGTAAACATATCCTTAACCTTTTAGCCAAAATCTTAGAGTATTAAGGTAGAACAATAAGAAATAGGTCTGAAATCAGAAACCTTGCATTTTATCCTATATACTAAAGCAAAATGATTTTTCACTGTAGCAATTAACAATGTTAATCACAGGTCATTGCTACAGTGTTTTGTTTTTTTTAATTTTCATTAATTTTTTTTGGCTAGACCCGTTCCCCACCCCCAATCCGTTATTGTTCATTTGAACAGTAAACGCCTGCCCTCCTTTTTTAAAAAAAATTTCCACCCATCTACTGTTCACATGAACAGTAAACGGCTTGCACCCTTCTTTTTTTTTTTTCTAAACATTAAATTTTTTTTAAATTTCTGTTTCTTAATAGTATTTGGTGTTAAAATTTTAAAAGAACCAACAATTAATTGGGTGTTAAAATTTTAAAGAAACCAACAGTTTATTTTTTTATTATTTATTTTTAAAATTTTTTTAAAAAATAAGAAATAGTTAAATACAAAATTTTTTATTAAAAAATTATAATTACTTTTTACCATAAAACTGATTATTAAATTGAAATAATTTTTCTAAACGATTTTATATATTTTATCCAACCCGTGACATAGATTAGGTAAAAAATCTAATACTATATACTAAAGAAAAATCATTTTTCATCGTAGCAATGAACAATGTTAATCACTCGTTCATTGCTATATTACTTTGGCTTTTTTTGTTTTTTAAGTTTTCATTTTTTTTTTTGCCAGCACCGCTGGCCTTTATCCCCTCCTTTTTTTTACCCGTTTATTGTTCATTTGAATGGTAAACGGCTTGCCCTATTTATTTTTTTCCCTCTAAACACTTTTTTTTTAATTTCCGTCCATTTACTATTCACATAAACGAGTAAATGGCTGGCCTCCTTTTTTTTTCCTAAACATTGAATTTTTTTTTAATTTTAATTTCTTAATAATATTAGGTGTTAAAATTTTAAAAGAACCAATAATTAATTGGATGTTAAAATTTTAAAGAAATCAATAATTTATTTGCTTTATTATTTATTTCTAAAATTGAAAAACACAAATAAGAAATAGTTAAATATAAAATTTTTTTATTTAAAAATTATAATTATTTTTTATCATAAAATAAATTATTAAACCGAAATAATTTTTCTATATGATTTTATATATTTTATTCAATCCACAACGTATCGCGGGTAAAAAACCTGAAGGTATCTATGGCACCAACGTCGAAGTGGTACAATTAATAGGTTTAAGCGTCCCCACTGTGGAAAAATTCAGAATAGCTTATGTTGCCTCTTCTCACGATATCCCAACTGAAAAATTCTGCATCATGCCCATCCGGACCAGAGGCTTTATTACCATTCATAGAGAACATCCCAGACTTGATCTCTTCAGCAGTAATAGTTTTTGTAAGATAACAGCTGCTGGGCACAAGAAAGTTTGCTTTTGAGAAGACCACGCAAATCTTCTAAGCTGGTACCACAAACATTACCATCCTTCTTACCAAATAGATTGCTGTAAAAGTTAACAATCTCATTTTAATTATCATCTGTAGAAGAAAACTGAACACTTAGCTTCAAAGAGAACATAGATATTATGTCTTGCTTTCTTGGCTGGAGCCATTCTATGAAAGAATTCTGAATTCTGAACCCCCTCTTGAACTCAAGTCACTCTTGACTTTTGTTTAAAAAAGGATTCCTCGGCAACAATACAATCAAGTAGAAGGCTAGAGAAACGTTTTTCATCATTAGCTAACTGCATAGAAAGGTTATTTATCAAATTCAATTGAATATTCTCCAACTCACTTCTGGTTTTGGCAACTCTACTAGGGATATCACCACAGAAATTAGCATTAAGATGCTTAAGAGGCATTTTCAAGCTTGCAGTTTCTTCTAAATTCTCAACATAGGGACCTCATCAACTTGCATACTCCAATTAGAAGCCAAGATATCTCTAAAGGAAGCATGAATAGCCCAGAAATTGAAGTACTTGAAAGGTCGGGGCTTAGATTTGGAACATAGGTTCTCACCAGCAAGGGAGAGTGGTCCGAAACACTGGGATTGAGAAACTTAGCACAAGATGACGGAAAAGCCTGAAGTCAAGCAACATTCACCAGGATTCTGTCTACTTTCTTCAATAAGGTTAGCAGACTGTTTAGTATACCAGGTAAAAAAATTACCTGAGCTTGCCAATTCAAACAAATCGGTCTCCTTTAGACAACAGTCAAACATCTCAACATCTGCCTTGGAGTAGTCCCCACATGAGAAATAGACTCTTCAGACTTTCTTATAATGATGAAATCACCCATAAAAACTCAAGGAAAACGTTGTAGAACAGGACTGAAAGATCTCAAATTCTTCGACACATTGTCTGATTTTAGAAGAATAACCCATATATATAAAGGTCAAGTGGCAGATGTAGTTGACTACAACATCATGTAACTGCCAATGGATAAATTGAGCACGAGCTTGCAAAATATGAATCTGAACAGAAGACCTCCGTAGAATCCAAATTCTGCCTTTCTCAGCATAATCACAATTATGAAACCAATTCCATCAATCAAATTGATTCACCACAATATCGCCTGCTTTCTCTGTTGAACTCTAGTTTTAACAAGGCTAAGAACATCAATATGAAGAGATGAACTTGGTTTACTAACCCTCTTTTGTTTGAGGGGAAGGCTAAACCCTCTAATATTCCATGAGAGAATATTAACCATTGGGAAGGTTAGCATTTAAACACCACCACCCATTCGACTCTTAATACTGACTTTCCCTTTGCCCTTCTTCTTTGCATTAACCTTCCTGGCCTTCGGCTTCAGCAAGTCAGTGATAATTGAGACATTTGCAAAGGCTTGCCTTGTCCATCTACCATGACTAACTGAGGTAGCAGAAACTTCATCGATAGAAGAAATCTCCTTCTACGTAGCCAAATGGTCTTCATCGTTATCGTTAAGGACATCATCCACGCTATCCAAAATAGATTATTCATATCAGACATCATTTCTGTAGTAGCATCCTTATCAGAATCAGCATTAAGATCCTCTGATAGAGCTAGAACACCAAATGAATTATGACCCAGATCCATACTGTTTTCCACCAGAGATGGAGCCTCCACAATATTAGAGACTGGTGCAACGGTTTAAAGAATCCATTGTTGTTTCTACTTAAGAGTCATTATCATCATTGAAGGCTACATTTTGTTTCTTCTTCTTTAAGACAAGTAGAATTTCTATGGCCAATGCACTCACAAGCAATATGGCTAAGGTCTTTACTAGTCATTAATTAAATAAGAACCCCCACAACTGAACCCAGACAGATATATGAGTAACATCTATCTCAACATTTGGTCCATTTGGCTCCCAATTCCTCAATAAAAATGGAATATTAATCACATGCCAAGGCTCTCATTCTAATACCCAATCAACAGATTTAGCATTCGGAAAACGAAAACAAAGATACAACTGTCATGAATGATCACAATGTTGCCGTCCCCGCCCCATAAATTGTTGACACCAGCGGTACTCGTTGATAACTTGAGATTTTTGCCAAAAAAACTCCCAACTAAGCAATATGTCCAGTTGCTCAAACCCTCCACTGCGGTCTGTCTTGTAATTGAGGCAACGGATTCACCATCTTGCATAGTAGGTTCCACAAATTCCAGCTCCCCTTCTCCAATATGAGAATGAAACATGTCTCTCCACTTACGCTGTTGTACTGAATTGGCAACGGCTATATTCTTCCTAACAGTCATTTTACTGCTAAATGACCCCACAGAGAGTTTTCTTCGACCCCTCAAAAGCTGGCCCAATAGAATGCCTAATACAAGACGGCCCATCATCACTTGTTTTAGACTTCACAATTGGGCTAAAAGGCCAGATAGGCCCATTTGACATTCTAGCCTCACAGCCTGAGTCATACGCAATCTTCCTACCTTCTACAAGATTTTCTCACGATAAGTCGGTTACAATAACCTCTTTGCCTCTGGCCATCAGTGACAAATTACTACCGGAATTTTCTCAATCACCTTACTCAAATCCATTACCACCGTAGATTTATGAACTCGCTCACCATCTTTATTGTAAACAACAACTGTTTTCCCTTTTGATTGAGCCACCAATTGCGATTGAACTCGTCCTCGACGAGCAGTTACTTCGCCAGAATCTCCCATCAAAGTGGAGCTCTTCGTAATCAATACAAGACAACGAATAAAACGAATACAACTCACCAATTTATTTGAAAAATGCCTAAAAAAAGAACCTGCTGAAAAAGCTAGGGATTTTAGAGAGAGCTTCTACAGAGAGAAAGCCGGTATTTGGCTTGATTTTATCTGGGAGTTAATTACATTTTCGGTTTTACAACTTGCCAATTTTTTTTTTATTTGAATGTATTTTTTTAATTTTTTTTATTTGAGCAATTTAATTTGCAATTTTTTTTTAATAGATGTTTAAGTGATTATGTTAACTAATTGTTTATGTTTCGGTTAATTATATAAGTGGTATCGTCATCATTTAAAGTCTACTGTCCGACATGAAAAAAGAAAAAAATAATAAATAAAACACAAAAAAAAATTATAAATTTTGAAAGCTCCAATTGAAAAAAACATTGATACGAGGAATATGAGTCACAAAAATTAGACAAAGCAACAAAAAATTTACTCAATAGATCTAGTGTGTGGTGATTTTTTAAGAACTAATCAATAGATTGATCAAAATACAAAAAGCTAATATTGTAACTTGTTGAACTAACGATCAATCAATCAAGTAAAATAGATGTACATAGTATAAGGCATGGAAGAAATAGCAAACATTATTAAGAAGACGTAAGTTGAATAGCAGACAGATGGGTGGTTAAAATTTAAATAGATGGAGTTTTAGTTGATATTTGTTGTGTGTGTGTAAGAGTTTTTAAAAAGAGTCAAGAAAATTTGAAATCAAGTTCGCTAGTAGATTTTGTCAATTTTCATTCAAAGTGTTGCTACCCGACATTTAGACGACTTCCAAAAAATTCTAATGAAAATTTATTTTGTTTTTATTTATTTATTGGATATGTGAGTTACATCATGTTTTGGAGTTACTACCTAACATTAAAAGAATTAAAAAACTTAAAATTAACATTGGTTTATAGATTTTAAGATAAAGAATTGGTTATGTTTTTGAAAAAAAATATCAATGACTCAAAAGTATCCTTTCCTAGAAAAAAATACCATGTCTAGTTTAATCATAAAGTTTATCTCTTAAAAAATTTTATGTTTGCCAAATTATTTCTCAAGTCAAAATATCAAGTTTTATTTCCTAAGCCAATTGATTTTTTTTTTATAACATCATATTGAATCAATTGTCAAACCTCGACATAAGTAGTCTCGTCAATCCAACATTGGATTCGGTTTAAGTATTGACATAACCGACATGTCGAAATAACCTAATTATTAAGGTGATTGATTTGAATTAATAACGTCCGTCCATATTGGATAGGAGACTCGTTAAAATATCTTAAAACATTTTTTTTATTTTTCTTAATTAACTAAAAGTGTTTTATTTGGAGATATACTAGAAAAACATTATCAAAATTATGTTTTTTGTTTTTTTGGCATCGTATTAAATTAACATCGACTTTCAAAATTTAGAAGTCTCATCAATTTAGCATCGGATCTAAATTAAAATCCCGACACGATTGACATGTCATGTCGCGGGGTGATGTCGATGGTGAGGGCGACGTGTTGAGGAAAAAATAGGAAAAATGAACAAAAATACTTGGAGTCGCCACTTAGTATCATGATTACTAAGAAACCCTATGGTCGGTGTATTCGAGTTCTAGATAAGGGGTTTATTACGTATATGAAAAATTAAAAATCACTCTATCCCGCCTTACCAAAGGCAATTGCATTGCATACAAACTTTGATTTGATTTCTGATTTTTAATGTAGAACATCTATACCTATATCTCAAGCATTTACCCACTAATCGAGTAATTTGGGACTTGATCGATCAGAGAGCTTGTCCTCACTCTGTAATGCATAGCTATAAATGATGAATATGAGGATATGTTGCTAATGCAACTCAAATGACATGCATGAAAAACAAAATTTAAAAATGGACAAATAAGTAAACAGACAAGACAGATAAATTAGCAAAATAGGCAAACATGCAAAAATAAGCAAATAATGACAAAATTGGCAAATCGACAAAATTAGCTAATAGACAAATAGGCAAAATTAACAAAATTGATAAATCTGCAAAAAGACAATTAAACAAAATAGGCACTTAGGCAAAATATACAAATTGGCAAGATAGGCAAAATCGTCAAATAGGCATTTAGGTAAAATATGCAAATAGGTAAAAATCAACAAATAGGCAAAATCGATAAAAAAAAATCGACAATTAGGCAAAATTGACAAAACAACAACAAATCGAAAATTAGGAAAAATAGGCAAAAATTAATAAGTTAACAAAAATCAACAATTAGGCAAAAATTGTTGAAAATCGACAAGTTGGCAAAAAATTGAAAATTAGTCAAAATCTACAAATAGGCAATTAGGTAAAATAAGCAAAAATCACAATAACGATCTAAAAACGAAGCTTGAGCTAACGCCACTTGAATCTCACATTTTTTAGTCGAGTTGGCAACGATGTTGTGATTTATCGTTATTTAATAAAAGTGATCAAACAACGGGATTCGAGATTGCGTTTTTTTTAATAAAATTAGTACATGAATGATTTAAATTGACTCGCTAGTAAAAACAATCTAAATAAGTGATTCACCCGAGCAACAACAAATATTTACAAAATGACCAATAGTATTGACCGAAATTCTTTTAATTTTTTTTTCATATTTTGGTATTCTCAACTAAAATTTTTTATAGATGCTAAAGAAAATTCAATACACTTTTTAAAAAATTCAAAATTTTTATATATAAAGTATTTTATATTTTGTGAATACTAAAAAATTAATAAATTATAAAAAAATAGAAAATAAGTTAGAATTACCTCAATTTTTTTAAGAGCCCTAAAAAAGTCATGATGTTACATAGATAATTTTAGTATGGTTCTCAAAACTTTTTCATATGTAGTTATTAAAATTAACATATTTTAAGTTTAGTTAGGTGTTAGGCATTTGATAATGTAAATATTTTAAGAATTATACTAAGACTAATTTATATGAATTTTTTAGAGGCACCAATAAAATTTGAGATCATTCCAAATTATTATTATTATTATTATTATTATTGTAATTTTTCTTATTTTTTATGTTTAGGAAAAATTAAAAAATGTTTTAACCTAAAAAAATTAATTATTTTTTAAAATAGATTAATTTTTTTTATTAAAATATGTAAAAATTTTGAACTCAAAATAATTTTAAAAGATTTTTGATCAATGATAATGGTCAAATCAAACAAACTAATTATATTTATGTAAAACATGATAATTTAAAAATAAAATTGATAATACAAATCACAGTATGTCACAACTATGATAATTCAAGAGCATATCTCAATATGTTATTGTTTATCTTGGAGTATAATATGCAAATTATTGGGAAGGATGTTATCAACAGCGATTATTATATATGTATTGGCTTGTTCCAACGCGGACTGTCGCCATCCAGCAATAGCCATAGTTGCTGTCCTTTAACCGATCATCTTTGAGGGTCTACATATTTAAAAAACGTGACTTCATTTTTCTAAACTGTGCAATCCCGGGTAGGACCCTAACCATTTTAAAAACAAGAACGTGTGTCACGATTTGAAGGTGTTGAATTACATTTTTAACTTTCGAACATATAGACTAGAGATTGTAGAAAAGGATGAGAAAATTATAAATTAGTTCTCTATTTTTAAAAATAAAATAATTAATTATTTTTATTTTAAAAATTATTATTTAGTTCTTTAATGAGTATTGATCATATTTAATTTAATGTTATTTTTATTTTACAAAATACTTTTTTTCTCTTATATATATATTTTTAAAAAAACTAAGTTATAAATAAATTTAAAAATATGAGTATTAAATAATTAATTTTTAAAATAAAAAATTAATTAATTCGTTTCTTGAAATGAAAGGGACCACTTTATAATTTACTCATAAAAAGAAAGTGTGTGCGTAACTATTAGGGTTTGGGAGGAAGAAGGAAGGGAAATAAGAGAAATTGCTTGGGCAAAAATTGTTTGATTCTATCTGTGTTGTCTAAACAAAAGTGTTCCGTAACAAAAAGAAAAAAAAAAAAAAAGTGATCGATGACATGAAGTTGGTGCAGCAAACAAAATATTTTATGCGTTCAAAAATGTTAAAAAATCCTAACCTTTGAAAGATCTCACTACCGAAAGATGGACAAAACTCAATTGACTCAGAATGCTAGCCTGAATGTTCCAAGGACTGGACCAGAGCAGTAAGACTTGGAAAACTCGGTTCTATCTTGTTGATCTTCAATACATGACATTAAGGCGTTGTTTCATAATAGAGAATGCAAAGATGAGAAAGAAAATACAAATTTTATTATCATTTTATAAGTATTTGATTGAAATAAATAAAATAAGAATAAAAATTAAAAATGAAATTGAAAATTAAATGTATTTTCAATTCAATGAAAGAGATGGACATAAAAACAAGAAATAAAAATAATTTTTTTCTTTCAAAATAATAATTTATTATTTTTATTTATTGTATATCAACTAATCCCATCATCATATCATGTGATAAAAAAAAATTAAAAAAATCATTCATATTATTATTCTGCTAGCACTCCTGGTCAACTATCATTATAACTTTTATTATATCATTATTTTATTAGTGGTTATTATTAAAAATATTCTTATTAGTATTGTGTCACAATTCTTTCTCTACCACTATCATCTTTTTTATCATATTATCACAACTAACATTACACTGTCACCTCTTAGGATGGTGATATCGAATATGCCAAAAAAAAAATTATTTACTATTATTATATTATTATTACTATCACTTCATCTTCTTAGTCCACTACTATCATCAACGTCATCACAATTATCTTTATTATTTTTATTAACATCATCATTGATAAAATTATTTTTTAATTATTATTTTTTATTCATCTTAAAAATCAACTATTAAAAAAATAAATTTAATTTCAATTTCTCATTACTATTTCAAATGTAGTATGATAATACAAATGTCATTTTAATTTTTTAATTTTAATTTTTATTTCTACAGTTTTATTTTAGATTTTTTTCTCAATAACTAAATGACACCTAAAAAGAATAATAATTGATGGAACTAAATTTTTAAATGAATTCAACGTAAATACACAAAAAGTCTCAAAACTTTATTTAATTTATTAAAAATAAATAATTTTTAAAAAAATAATAAATTGTTATATTGTGTTAAAATGTATTGTTTTTTTTTTCATGATTATCTTCTTTTTAGCAAATTAAGTTATATTTGAGTTTCGGAGGTGAAGGTATTTTTATTAATTTAAATAAGTATCTAATGAAAGACTTAAATGAGAATATATAACATAAAGATAAATTGAAAAATGAATCGATATTCAGAAATAAATTGAGAGTATGTAAATACAAATTGAAAAGTAAATATAAAATATAAATACAATTTAAACTGTTTTATATAATAAAAAATTGTTCATAGTAAATAAACCCACTGAATTAAGTACATTTTTTTATATGTCTAGGACCACTTTCACAACATCATTCATATGCTGCACGGTCTACGAACGGCAGCTTGTTAACGTGCTATACCATGGATTTTATATTTCCCAAACCCAAAAAAGCATTTTGACCGAAGGACATTTGCGTCCAATTAGTTCAACCGTGTGGGCCCTTATCTCCTCGGCTTCACAACTCGCTGTCGTGCAAGAGACTTGAACTCTGAGTCAGCACCATCTTTCATCTCTTTCCCTCTCCCTTATAAATATCTTCCCTCTTCTCCTCCATAAAAGCCCCTTAGCCTTCATTTCTCTCCTCAACTCAACTCTCGAGCCAAATCCAGTTCTTTCAATTGCAGCTCTCTCTCGCTCTCTATCTGTCTATCTCTCTCTCTCATTTTCTACTTAGCCATGGATTATTGCAGCAAAACTTCCTGCAAATCAAGCTCCCCTTTTGATTGCCTACTTTTTGGTACCTTTTCTTCTTCTCATACAATTTATCGTCCATCGTGCTGTCCGAGCTCTCTGATCACATTGTTTTGAACTGTTTTTTTTTTTAAACAGATTTGGATGACACTTTGTATTCTTCTAAGATTGGAATAGCTGAAGGTCTAAGAAAAAATATTGATGGTACGTGCCAGTTTCTAATTAATTACATAATTAATCACGCTTCAAAAACTTAATTACTTGATTCTTTTCAAGCACTGATTATGATCTTTATTTTTACGTAGACTTTCTTGTTGAGAAATGCGGATTTCCAGAGAACAAAGCTCCAAGTCTCCGAGTTGAGCTCTTCAAGAATTACGGAAGCTCTCTCGCCGGTTTGCGAGTAACTACTCTTTAACAAGGACATAATTAAAAAGTTTCTGCTTTTAGTTTTCCTGCTTTTTTTTTAATTATTAATTGCTTAAATTTATATTTCAGGCACTAGGCTATGATATTGATGCTGATGATTATCACAGGTTAGCAAAATCCTAACTCAAAAGTGCTTAAATTTCAGATAGACTCTGTTCACATTTCAAGACAAGAAAAACCTGGAATCAGTTTTTAACTATATTTATTTTTCAACAGTTTCGTGCACGGAAGGTTGCCTTATGATTTGATCAAGCCAGATTCTCACCTACGTAACCTCTTGCGTAGCATTCCTCAAAGAAAAATTGTAAGCCTAAATCAGATAGCACAAAATAGAGCCACCAATTTAATCATTGTTTGCGATAAAAATAAAAAATAAATAAAAGTTGTATTCTTGTTTACGCTTCCTAGCCAATTAATTGTTTGTTTAATATTTTTCTTGGCAGATTTTCACAAATTCGGATAGAAATCACGCTATCATGTCCCTAAAAAGGCTAGGAATAGAAGACTGTTTCGACCAGATCATATGTTTTGAGACGATGAATCCGAACCTGTCTAAATCAACAACTCCTTATGAGTTCCCGATTCTTCTTAAGCCTTCAATGGATGCCATGAAAATCGCTCTCCGTGTTGCAGATGTTGATCCTCTTCGTTCGGTAAGCAACCATTTCTAACAAGAGGGTTTTTTGCTTGATTAGTTTTCATCATCCATTTGTTTTTTTGTTTGGTACTAAAAGAAGAACATTTCTGAAACGCGTTTCTGCTCTGTTATGTTGTTCAGCTGTTTTTGGATGACAACGTGCGCAATGTGGCAGCTGGGAAAGCTTTGGGGCTCCATACTGCTCTGGTAAATTTACTAATAAATTCCCTTGTAACCAAAACGAAGAAAGAGTCTGCCAAGGACCAACCCCTTGTTAGAAACCAATTTGTCTTTTTACTCCTCAAATTTAAATCCAAGCATCTGCTAACCTTACCAAATTTTTATGACTTAGAAAATATTACTATTTTTAACCACTTCCAAGGGGGAAAAGGGGCAAAGGTTTAAAATACTACAGTTATAACTATTATAAGTATTTAATAATTCATTTATAGCTTATTTTTCAAGAGAGGTATGAATACATAAAATATATATATATATATATTTAGATTCATAGAAAATAATAAAAAAAATTTCACTAAAGTTTAGTTTAGTTTTTTAATTTCTCTTAATTCTTTTTTTATCTAACCTTTTCTTATAGACTATTGCATTTGAATCCATTAAAAATGATTAAAAAATTTTTTAATTTAAACTCAATTTTAAAATTTTTTTCCTTTTTTTATGTATTTATCTCGTAAGTATTACCGGTTATTCTTGAAGTAATATAAAATTTATAGACATTCAAGACCCATGAATTAGTAGGGCCAGCATGTGCAAAAATGAAGTGTCCTGATTAACCCTGTTTTGCGTCGTGCTACTTCATCCGCGAAAGGGCAAGGGCATCAATGACGTTGCTTAATTTGGACCAACTAATCTAAAATTCTGAGAACTGCATTTGAAAATAAAGGACAGCAACATTAAAGCTGTCCCAGAGAAGTAGTTGGCTGTGTCCTTTTTGTGATTATGATTGCCGGGTGGGCATTTAAAATTGTTTGAAGAGTAATGCATGTGCTGTTGTGTCCTAATGTAATTATGAAGGTTGGAAAAATGGTGAAGAGCAAAGAAGCAGATTATGTATTGGAGCATATCCACAACCTGGCTCAGGTGATTCCAGAAATTTGGGTAAGAGCAACGGACAGTAGTGATCCAAGGATCAGCCGCACCAGAAGCGAAATGGATGCCATTCTCACAGCTACAACCGTTGGAGCCTAAATAAGACAACCAATCAAGACCCTTTTTATAAGGACTGGGTTGGTGATCTGTACATATCAAATGTATCTTTCATGTGCATATCGCAGCAAATGTCTATATCTACGTGTAATATGTTGTTAAATTAAAGTATCATACGCATGTAAATGGTTCGTCTTTGTAATGGGGTAACTTTTTTTTAGATTAACATGGGTATCCGGGCCAGCTTTCGCGTCAACCGACTAATCCCATGGGCCCTGACATTATTGACCATGTAAGATGCCAGTAGCCACTGCATGTGGGAGGCAGCGCTCGAACCTGAGACCACAGGGGGAGCAAACCCCTTGGCCCCAGGCATTGGCCAGTAATGGGGTAACTTTTAAGTGAATTGTGGTGTCAGTTAAATTGGCTTATGTCTTAGTTGATAAAATAATTTAAAGACACTTCACATCAATGCCAACTTTATATGAATTCCGAACCTTATACGGAGTACAAATAAAAATAAAATAAAAACAGAGAATTACCGTCTAATCGAACCCATTGAATTAAAAAGAAAATTAAAAGAATAAAAAAAGAAGGAATAAATTTTTGTCCAGCAACTCGAGAAGCTTCCAACACGACTGAGGACTTGAGGTTAGCTTTAAGCCTTCGACCAACAGAGATGGCATAGCATTTGTCCTGTCCACGTAAGCTCATTGATCATGTCTTTGGTGCATGTCACACAAAGGGCATCAGATAACGATATCTACCATCTTGTCATCTCAATAATGATAAAGAGTCACCATTGTTGGTTAGAGACGTCAAATTTTGATTTGAATAGAAAAATAAAATGTGATACACGTAGAAACTTGTATCCATCCTCCAAATCATGGTGGTTATCCATGTCATGGTTGGCTCTTTCATTCATTCTTTTAACTAGACTCTATCACATATTAATTTAATGCTTCTAATAGATATTATTATCGTGATTGTTTGGTGTGTTGGCGATAAGGACTAAGACTGGATGGCATCATTAGTTTATATAATACTGGAGTTCGCACTCGATACGAACATGTTAATGAATGCCGAGAACTCAGGAAGTATTTTTCAAGTTTGAAAATACTTTCAATCTCTGTCATGTGGTAAGATGGTTTTCTAGACCATGTAATTATGAAATGTTGGAAATTGTCCAGGAGAGTTTGTTGGATTCAGCTCTTGAATTGACTTAGGAAGGCCAAAACAAATTGAACATTTTCATGCCCGTGTCAAAATTCAAATCAATTTTTTTCTCCAATGAAAATTCAAATCGACTTATCTGAAAGTTTGTTCAACGATAGAAATTAAAGAGCGTGAACAGTAGTGCATTCTCTTAGTGAACAAGAATCGAAAAATTGAATTAGATATATAGTTATTTGTGAAATAAAATGAAAGATATTTTCAATAACAAGAAGAAAAAAAAATTAAACGGAGGATTATTATGAAAAATTTTATAATACTCGAAGAATGCAGTGATATCGCAAGTAATTACTTCATTGAATCTACTTAGAGAAAAAAATAAACACATAAAATTAAATTCAAACTTATTAAAAATAATAAAAAGGTTTTCACATTATTTTAATTTTTTTTTTAATTTTTAATATTGCATTTTAATAAGGGTTACGGAGAGCATGATCGCCGGTTGTCTTTAATTCTCAAGAATCAAGATCCAAGTTACTTACTGGACCAGCAGTTTGCTTACAGAAGTGGGCCTCCCATATGAAATCCATAACCAAAGCCACAAACTTCAAATCGATACTGGAAAATCGTTCAGGCCATCCACTTCTGCCCCAGAAATTAGGCCTTCTCACATAATTAACAACTTCGCTATTCGCTACATGCTATGGACACGAAAACAGAGTAGTAGTGGCCATAAGAAAGATATGCATTCATTTTTGTGGGTCAGGCTTAACCGTTGTTTCTTAACGTTGTCGTGTGGAAAATATAGCATTAAAAAATATCATGAAGAAAATGCTGGTTTAGAAAAAAATATTGGATCCCATGTTCTGTTAAATTAAAAGCTATTTCAAAAAAAAAGTAAATTACGAAAAGCACTTATAGTTAGGTGAGGAGAACACTTTGCATTCCTATTTTTAAAAAATTATACTTTACATCTTATGATTTTAATAATTGTTGAAAAAAAACATTCTATATTATAATTTCGTTTTTAGTGTCAAAGTTTTGGATAAAAAATCCAAATTATTATAAGTTTGTAATTTTTTTAATGGTCACAATGCTCTTCGAAAGCATTTCAGCCTTAAAAAAAAAAAAAATTCAAAACAACTAAATTCAATATAACATTAAAGATCTAATGAAAGACACCCAAATTCAATTATTAAACACCCAAAATTCAATTCTAAACATTTAAATCTAGATCAAAACACCAAAAACTTTAACTCAAAACACTCAATATTTCAAACATTTTAAAACACTAAAAGATTTAGTCATGCAAAAAATCGAAAACTCCTCGGAAAGCTTCTCATATGTAAGCACCCTATGTACTTCACCAATTAGCATGAAAGCTGCCTCTACACTAGCAAAAATGTTCTTATCAAGATGAAGCAAGCGCAAAATTTTTGTATTGCTTGTTGACAATTGCCTCCTCAAAAGAGCGCTTAATCCGGAGAATTCATACTAATCCATTTTTTACCCATTTAATTTGATTCGTGTAGAACAATGAACCTCACTGGCTCTTAACATTTGAGAAATATTCTCTAGTTCAGGGTAGAGTTGCTGCTCCTTCAATGCAATCTTCCTTGTCCTTTTAAAATAACCATTTTGTATTTTCCTATTTGCAATGTCCTTCATTCTGATGGCTTCTTCTTTGTTGCATTCCATATTTGGTTGAAATTCAAGGCCACCAAATCAAATGCACTTGCTAATTTACAAAAAAAAAAAAAAAGACTATTTTTTTCCATGTCTTTCTAACCTCCAACAATCATCTAAAATCTTCAAACTGTATGAATATAAGCCAGATATGTTTAATCCAAATTTACATTTAGTAACATCAAATAACATGTATACTAACAACAAAATAATAACACGTCGTTTAGCATTTGAAAAAACCACAAAAGTGCCAATCGAGCTTAAACAAAATGATCATTCAACACAAAAAGCACCAGAATTCTCCAAAATATGAACTTCTCTTCAAGTTAGATTTCTAAATCTAAAAACTCACAATTCCCACAAATTAGAAATAAAAATTTAGCATCATCAACAAAAGTACCATTATCATCATCACAACGAGCGACCAAACCCTATTTAGAATCTAACAAAAACCAACTTCATTACCATTAGCAAATAAAGACCTAGACCCATCTTGATTAAACCTTAATTTTTAAAGTGTTTTACTCAAAACAACAAATTAAAGCATAAACAATCAAATTCTCTTTAAAAAAATCAACATTAAAAATTTGGTTTTTTTTAAAAAAATGTTCCAAATTTCACTTAAAAAACCTCAAATTACCCAAAAAAAAAAAATTTAATGCGTTTTGCTAAAAAAAAAAAAACACCAATTAAAGGATAAAAAAGTTGTTCGAAGCAAAAATTAAACATTTTAAAATTTAGGTTTTTTTAGATTTCAATTACGGATGAAAAGAATTTCAAAATAACCAAATCTTTATGGGTTTTGCTCGGAATTAGATCCATGTAAGGTCAATCCTAATATTTTATGAATTATATATATTTATGTTTTGAAAAATTAAAAAATAGATTACGCTTCACATAATTGATTTCAACTTCGAAATGTCATTGATTCGTTTTCAATTTGACCATAAACAAAAAAAAATGTATAATCAACAAGATCACACAAGAAAAGTATTTGATTTTAATAGATTTGGTTGTAAATTTCAATGTTTGATTACGGTTCTCTCTCTTCGAAGAGAGAGAACATGAGAGAGAAAATACAACTTGGGAATGGGATGAGTTTTGTTTTAGCTTGCACCAGATCTAATTATATACATGAGGGCATTGTTGTCATTTTATAATTTATTGGATAGAAAATTTATCATAAAAAAAGTATAAACTATAAAGTATAATTTTTAAAACATAGGAGTGCATAGTGTTCTCTCAGCCTACCTACAAGGTGTTTTTCATAATTTACCCTTCATAAAAAAAAAAATGATACAAAAGAACCGGTATTGAAAAGAAAAAAAAATAGTGGTTGATGTGTAACGAATATAACAATACAACCGTTTTTTGTTTAAACTATAGATATTCTAATAAGAATAAAATATAGTATTGAATAAACAATATAAATGCACTATTTAAAATAAAAGAAATTTTTATGTATTCCTGATATAGTGCCTCTCACTCATAGTAAAACGAATCTGTAAGTAGTTATCATAGTAGATTTAGCTTTTATGTGATTAAAGAAATAATATATCGAAAATACCTAATAATTTTTCTTAATGTAAATATTTGTTCATCACATTACCTGATTAGCATGCCAATAGTATATAATTCATGGTGCAAAAATTCTCTTGAATAATTTTCAAAATTAAACCAACTATTAAGGACATGCAGTAACTTTTTACAGTCATTTTGTCTGTTTGTTTCCTAAAAATATTATGGTGCAAAGGAAATATCTAACAAGGAAAACATTATAAATAAATAAGGCATTTTCAATATTGCTTGGTTGTGCTAATTGAAAATTATTTTCTAGCATTTGGTTTGCATGAAAATTAAACTAAAAATATTTTCTAATAAGGTGGTGGTGGGGTGCTAATAATAACCGAATATGATGGACGATAGTGGTTGTGGTGGTATTGATAGAAGTAGTTTGATAGTGGTGTCAATTGGAGATTTTATGTTAGTAACTCTCTGTAAAATGTTTTAAGCTTCTCACTTCCAGAAAAATAACCTTCTTTCTTTTCTTTTTTTAATCGTAAAATATTTTTCATTAATTAGATTTTTCTAAGACTGTCAGACACAGAATCATATTCTAGCAATTAAAATATTTTCTGGAAACAAACGCAACATAATGAGTCAGTTCGTCGAAACCTAATGCAACAGAGAGATATGGGTCATGAACTTGTAAGGATGGCGAGTTGATGATTACAATTTACATTAAACATATTTTAACGTCTGGCATGGGGCTTTTCTAATCCAAACAGTTCCTATTTAGTCAAAAACGGCCCCAACCACAATACTAAACGGGCTTTAAGTTTTTTTTGGATACAACTTAATCTCAGCTATCCATCACTAAACTATGGATGTTTCCAGGAATATGTGACCATGTCTTAATATTAAGTGCATATTTTTCTTTAATATACAAATCATCAGGAAGAGAATGATGACTATCATCACAATCACATGGTTGAACCCTGGCATAAAAAAACTAGAATCTATGACCCTATATCATATGAAATGATGCAGATATAGATATATAACCATCTGAGAAAGAAAAGAGAAATGTGCACACACAAGACAGGTTTTGCTTCTCTTTTAGAATCTTTCGAAGAAGAGACACAAATACAACAAACAAAGGTAAAATATTCACGTAATCAGAAATCCATGAGGTAACCAAATCACAAATCATAAACTTGCTTGCCGGTGAACTTGACTTCAATTGGGCTAGCATTCTTTCCAATTGACCTGAAATTTAGTCCCACACCTTGGCGCCCTGGGTTCACCTTCTCAGGGTAGACGCCATCCTTAGGATGCAAGTACTGAACCTCTCCATTGGGGAACACCCTGTAAAACTGGTACTTGATCTTATACTTAGACCTTAGCCTAGTTCCAAGAGCCAAGCACTGCTCTTTCCTGGCCAACTTGAGCAAGTTAGGGCCTTCCCTCATAATGGCAGCCCCCCCAGTTGGCATTTCAAATATTTGTTCCTTGGGGGAGTCCCATGTGATCACATAGAACTCCTCTACTTGAGCTTTCCTCAACAGCCCACCGGTGCTTCCACCAAAAATTGGTGAGGGGGTACTTGGGTCCAACTCTGGTGGAGTAAACCCCACTGGAGCCTCTTTCGTAGCTGCAGCTGTTTCCTCTGCAGCAGCAACCTTCATGGTTCTTTGTGACTTAACATTAGAGATTGGTGAAAAAGATGATTGTTTCCATGGAACAATTGGTTGGTTGCTCGATTTTAGGGTGGAGAGGGTTGTGGGGGTGAAGAGAGAGGCTTGAGTTGCCATGGCCATGAAGAATTGCAGATTGGAGAGTGTTGAATGATATTGGCCTATAGGCGTGTTTTGGTTCGATAAGATGAAGGAGAAAAGATCATTGATTTAGGAGTTTGTGGGATTTGAGATGGGTGGTGTGTGTAAGTGATTTTGGATAAGGCGATATGGAACAGACCAATTAAATTTCTTGACCTTTGATACGTGGTCTCACCAACATCTTGTGTGTGGTATTGTGAGTTTGGGATCAGGTGGATATGGCATGGGCCAATTAAAATTCTTGAATTTGATACGTGGGCTCGCCAACGTCTCCCTTCTTCGTTTTCTTCCCAAAGGATATGGAGAAATTTTATAATTGTCAAGGAGGAGTAACTATTTTCGTTATAATTGTTTATACTGCTGACGTGGGAGTTTCGCTTACAATTTTACAGACTAGATTCACATACAAAAGTTGAAGAAGATAGTTTAGAAGGATAAAGGCATTCTTGTCTTTTTAAACCGCTGTAATTTTAAAAAATTTTCCGATTAGCATAAATTATATCACTTCAAAAGGTTTATTTATAAAATAATACGAAAGCTCTCGAAGCTGTTTTTTAAAATCAAAATCCACTTTGAAGACCTATTTTTAAGCTTTTTAATAATCTGAACGTGTAAAACCGGTCCAAATTGCTCAAGTGTAGAAATTAAAACTTTTTATTTTCTTATTTTTCGTTTTTTTCTAGATTTAAATTTTGAATTTATAGTTTTTTTTAGTTTAAACAAACTATTCAAGTTGTTTGTAGGACTCGGGCAACTATTATCTTATTATTCAAAAATATTTAAACTTATGAGTTTTTCATAATTTGTTTTTTCTTTTTAAGGATTTTTTAATATTTATTATGTATTTTATCGTTATAATCTACTTCAATGTCAATGTAAAAATATATTACACTAAAATGTGTGTGCGTGTGTGTGTATATATATATTAAGTATTGCTGAAGTATAATGGCAACTATAACTTGGATGGTTGATTTAGTGATTAATGAGATTTTTTTGAACTTTGTGAATTTAAATCTTGAGACTAGTATAAAACAAGTTTATTAAATTTTTCTGAATGCATCAGTTTATATAAATTGATCTAAAAATATTTTTAACGCTCACTAAAATAACAAATATAATTATACATGCATTGTTCAAAAATACTATACACTAATGTAAAAAAATGTTTGTAAATTGTAGATTTGTGTAAAATATGTATAGTAAAATTACATCTTCTCATAACAAGCACTTCTTTAACAACGCCCTTGTATGATTTGTTCTAGCTTAATAAGAATCTCACAATTCATCCAAAGAAAAGGTAACAAAACGATCTTTTAAACTTTAAATTAAAAACGAAGGAATTCGTGACAGTTTTCATTAAAAATGAATCCATGATAGAGACTGAAAAAAATGAATCCATGATTGATAACCCTCCCTTCCTAGAGACGACCCTACACAAAAATTTAAAGGAAAGAATGGACCGGTGATAACAGTTATGAATCGAAAGCCCAAAGGCTAGAAAAAGGTCATAGACCTTAACTGCATATTAAAAGAAATGGACCCAAGGCCCATTGACGCTAAATTAGGTGAAGTGAAACAAAACGGGCGGAATTGTCCTGGGCATTTCTGCATCGTGACTCAGTCTTCGCGTCCTCGACATCCGTCACATGCGTCAGTAGGAGAGCAAGGGAGAGAGAGGGAGAGAGCCGCCTTGAATCTGGCACAGCAAGAGGAGGCATCGTTCATTCCCTGTTAATCCTGCCAAAGCAAGGAAGTGGGGTTCACCTTCTGAATTCTAGCCAAGAATGCAATACTGGTAAAAAACGATCACCTCTTTTATTATGTCGCTTCAGTCCTATTCCTCTATATAATACCGCTCTTAAGTCTCTCGGATGCGGAAATTTATTATCTTCGTTGAAGTAGTTTTCTGTCAAATCCATTATATATATTTACCTGTTTAATCAAGTGTTTACTTTAAGAAGCAGATTCTATCATTCTTGGCAAAAGAATCATCGGAATGCAGACAAATTTTTTTTTCTTTTCTTTTTGAAGATTTAATATATATTACTTTGAAAAATCTTGAAAGTAGTTAAGTTTTTTCTGGACCATTTCTGAACTTTACTGAAATGCAGACAAATTTTTTTATGAGGCACCTTTGTTTTTCTACGCAATCAAAAACATGAAAAAACAATATATATATATATATATATATAAAGAACGAAAAGACTAGAATGAAAGAACCAACCAAATTATCCAACAATGTAGAATTTAGATACTGATTTTTCAGTGATTCTCTCAAGCAATTAGCCCTGTAGGAGATTTAAGTTCTCTTTGTTTGGCATGCATAGGGATTTATGATTTAATTTGTTGTCAAAGGAATGGTTTCTGCTGTCATTTTGGCCAAACTCGACTAGAATGAAAGAACCAACCAAATTATCGAACAACATAGAATTCAGATACTGATTTGCCTGTGATTCTCTCAAGCAATGAGCCCTGTATGAGATTTAAGTACTCTTTGTTTGGCATGCATAGGGATTTATGACCTAATTTGTTGTCAAAGGAATGGTTTCTGCTGTCATTTTGCCCAAACTCTGGATTTATCTGTTAGAAAAGGACACAACACACAGTTCTTGCTATTTGTAGATAGTTGCAATACACTTACCTCGAATACAAATCGTCGAAGAAAGAAAAATCTGAACACAAAAAACCTTAGATGACCACCTTTTACTTGACCATCATACCATTTTTAAAACCTACTATATACCGATTGCCTAAAAAATGCTACTGCATTACTAGTTTGATCCAATACATTAGATTGAGACACTGTTAGGAATGCCCTTGCCTGTGAGCCCACCCTCTCTGGAGTAATCTGTGGTGTTAGGAAAGAGTAAAGTGTAAGGAACGTTTACAGGCCCCACTCTGTTTTTCCATCTCTTGTCATTGTTCATATCCATAATTTTGTTTTCAATTTCTATCAGCTTCCTTCCAAATCTCTCAAATGCCACTAGTGGTTCACTATCTGAAGTCCACTCAGGAGTATCTCTCTGTCCAAGGTAAATCTCATCAGTTGCATGTCTTGATAAAATCTCAATCAGTGATACACCAAGGAGGGTTTGTAGCTGGGCTGTGATTGTTTTCAGGAAGGCTACATCTGGATTTTTCTCAAGCTCGGCGTACTCAGGTGTCCCTGCCTCAGGCATGAATCGACGGCTTATGGTCGGACGGTTGGGGAGGTAACCAGCATAAGGATATTGCCCAAAATTGACAGCAGCATGGAGGGCTGAAGCTATCCATATGATAATGGTGCATGTTTGTGTGATATCAGCTAATGTCTGCATCTCAGGCCACCAGGGTTTGTCTTTCATGTCACCGTGGCCTACATTACGGATCTCTGTCCACCATGACTGGAGTTCACTATCACCTTGGATCAAATCATCTGTGGGGTAGTAAAAAGCGCAATATTCCTTGACCCATGTTTCAATTGCTGACCAGATTTCTAGCCCATCAACAGCATAGGGATAATCTTCTATCAGAAGTCTGAGGCCATGTGGTTGGCTTGAATCTGGAACTGCCACTCCTCTTGATGATGGTGAAAATTGGATAAGTTTTAGTTTTGCTATATTTAAAAAATGAAAGAGAGTAGTTTTATGGTTTAAGGTTCTGTGCTTTACCTCTTAAGGAGATCGGTAGGGAGTCCCTGCTCAGTGAAAACCCAGTTCTTGTAAACAAAAGAAGACATTTCCATGGCATATTTGGCTGGGAAAACAGTTTTCTCCAAAACTCCACCAGCATTGATAAGGATCTGCCTAGCCAAGGCATTTATATTCATTGTATCACGAAAATGAGGATGCACAAGCTTATAGATTGGGTGAAGAACACTCAATTGTCTGTTTGTGGCAATCACAAACGGCTCTATTACAGCATGAGTGTTCAGCCTGCAAACATGAGCAGAATCATTCAGGTGCGCATTCTAAATTAGCACAAGCTTCTACTTTATGCCCTAATGAAGCCTTTTTATTTGGAATCATACCAGTGGCTAATAAGCTGATGGTATCCAGAATCATTTACAGCAGCATAAGCTTTGGCCAGTTGCCATACTGAGCCTTCAACACTGTGTTCTGCTGCAGTGAAAACTTTGCTGACAGCGCCATGATGGTCCCCTTGTGGATGTGGTAGACTCAACTCAATTGCTAATGGCTTCAATGTCCCATCATCTTGAAGCAAGAGGATTGTTCTAGAGGCGTAAGTCTTTGTGCTGGTTGAGTTTATTCGCCTCAGGTATGGCATCAATGCATCATGATGATCCAATATAAACAGCCTGTTGTTTTTGATTGCCTACATCAGAAAAATTGGAACATCCATTTTTCAGGGAGACAATTTTATTGTTTCTTGATTCTAATGTTGAATGTACAGTATAGATAAGGACATGAAAGAAATGAATCATCATTGCTACCTGATCTACAGTTAGACCATCCATGTTCTCTTCTATTAACTCTTTCCTTATTGAGCTGTTCTGATTTCCATATACTTTAGGGTCTAGCTTGCTGGCTGGGGGAAACTCCTGCAGATATATTTTAGTAATTTATCAAGCTTTAGAGATAATAGAAACATAAATCATCAGGTAGTCTAATGCAAGTTGCGTTTTACTTGGAGGCGACTGATGATAACTGGGTTGACTCCAGCAAGCATTTCCCGTGCAAACTCTTCATCTGTCCTCCAAGCAGACTTGCTCTCTGAAACCATACCATGAAAACCTCATATTTCTAAGTAATGTAGACATGAAGTGAAATTTTAATATTGCAAGGTAACTGGGAGAAAAGTGCACCTTTGATAACATCAGGCTTTGGGAATTTGAGGAACCGCTCTCCATCATCACGAAGCAGTTCCTTGAGCATCTCCCACGGGATGTGATCCCTTATTTTACTGAGCATGGGTCCATTCGGTAGCTTAATTCCCCCTTCATAGAGGTTTAGAACATCTTCAAAGGTGTCAAATTCGTTGATAGTTTTGTCACATAAAGATGTGATCTCTGGGAGCAATATCTGAACCAGGGATTTCAAAGCATAGGCAAGAAAATCTGAAAACTTCAAATGCCCAAACCGTTCATCTCTTGGAACATAGATGTCCAGACTTAGAAGCGGCAATCTTTTCTCAGTATGGGGGTCTGTCACAATGGGAAAACTGAATTGCTGATTGAATTAACAAAAATGCATGCATCCAACATTCTTAAAAAAGCTATTCAGCCAACAATATTCTCTATGTATCATACTTGTATGCTTTATACTATTAGAGATTCTGAACTCTTGGTAGAGTGGTTATATACAGATGGATGTCAAAAGTGCTATTAAGTTCAGGTTTCTGACCCTTTTTTGTTTTCTTCCGGCCTGTTCTTCCTCTTCGGGGATATGGATACTCTTCTGTTCCACCAAGAATAGGGCGTGCATATTCTTCACCCTTGTCGGGACTCGCCAAATCATTGTAATAATCATAGTCGTAGACTCTATCCCACTCTTTCAGCTCACCTTTTCCATTTCCACGGAGGTTTATAAGCTCTTCTTCTCTATATAACCGCAATGGCTCAGGTGTTTGACATGGAAGATATACCTAATGCAAAATCCGTCAAGAAGTTAGTGAATCCAAAATTTGATCCAAAACCTATCTTAATACGTTCGCAAAAATTTTGGCACGAGGAGTAGGCCTATACACAAATCATGAAGGGAGAAAAGGTACAAAAAAGAAGCGATGGTGAAAACAACAACGAAGGAAACAGTTTAACACCTTAATGAAGACAGTCATGATCGAAAGAAAATTTGAACTCAAATCAAATAAGAAAATGACAGTCAGAGAAAGTGCTGTTCTAGCAGGAAAACAAACAACGGTTTATGATTTTGCCTACAAAAGAAGGGAATAAAATATTGAGGTTCTCAATAATTGAGATTGAAAAGGTAACCATCATGATAAAAAGCACCTAACTATACGGCCCAGAATGGCATTACAGCTTACCCTCCTGGCTCTAGGCAATTCACGAAAGCAACCCAAATAAAACATAATGATCAGCTCGCATTCTTATATTTACTACGATAATTCAAAATCCAATTACCTTGTTTGAGAAAAAGACACGATTATACTTGTAACGATGCGCAGGATAAACCCAGGAATTGCATATGAAATGTACCCGACCGTGCCCAGGAACATCTTCTAAAGTGACTGTCTTGAGATAGATCTGGCTATGGTGTTGGTTTTTAATGATGATAGCCCCAGGAAGACCCATGCTTTCATCCCATCCAAAAGTAATTGTGAACAGAGTCTCTCCAGCTGTTAATGGTGTGATTGTGGTAACCCATTTCTCCAAGTATGCTACTTTTCCAAGCTTCCCTCGCAAGCCATCTGCTAAACACCACAAAACTCCCAGTTTTAGCTTTAATCATACTTGATTTTCATTCTGTTATTGCACTCTTTATAGGAAAGATTAAACAAGAAAAAACATTCAAAGCTAACTTCATAATTTCTTAATCTTGTACGTAACTAGCAACTCCTTAACTATCACTTTCTCTTTTAAATAAATAAATAACTCCTCAACTACTGAAAAACACAATTCAATTGTTTCCTTGAAGACCTGAATTTGAAGAGTTATTTGCTGTTTGATTAGAAAGAAAGTAAGAAAGAAAAAGGTCATTCGTCTTTATTCAAGAACCTTCACTACAGTATTCTATTTACCTCAAATCTTTTGGACAGTTATGGCATTCAAGAAACTTAAGAGAGGCAGAGAGAGGGAGCAGGCTAACCTGGGTCTTGATTAGCAGCACTGACAAGCTGCATAGATACACCTTTGCCCAACAACTCATGAACCCGATCAAGAAATGAAGCTCTTAAATCATTAAAGTCCAACACGTTCTTTTTCATCAACACCACTGTGCCTTTGACCTTCCCTTTCCCTTCCACCTTATTGCCTTTGGCCATGGTTTTAGGCTGTGTACAGAACATTTCCATTACTTTCTGAAATATCTCTGAGACAGGGCAGAACCCCATCTGGAAAGCTCAACAAAAAGAGTAGCCAAGATTCCTAGAGTAAGGTGACGTTAAAAGGGAGTGGGATATATAGCTAGATTGGCTTCTGTGTGTCGTGTTTCTTCCAATATATAGTGATTTCTTTCTTGGATTTCTTGACTTGTTGAAGTCTTGGGTCTTCGCCGAGGCAGCAAGTATTTTAAAATACAATCGATGGTGACAACTAATAGGGGACCGAAAGGAATTCAAGTCTTTATCTCTTGATTAATCCAGAATTAAGGAACCAGATTCCAATATTGGCAATTTTTTTTCCTTCAAGAAAATACCATGTGTGACCTTTACTCTAATATGTATGAATGCGGGTAAAAATCTCAGTCCGTGCATGATGCATTTCCAAAGACTATTAGATTATAAGGGCTGATGCTTTCATGCCAGCCTTATTGGAGTTACTACTACATTTCTGGCGGAGTAGTTGCGGCCTAGATTTAAATGCTTCTCCCGAGCATCCTTGCAGGACGATAACTGTGGTTTGTGGAGAAAGTATAAGATTATAATTAATTAGCAATGTTAGTTCTATATATAATGAATTAGCTGGGAAATTAGGATGGGCTTCTCATTTCACTCTCATAAGTTATGGATCCGAAAATCTTCTTATTACTTTTGATAGGTATGTATATAATTTTTTTTTTATGTGTCTATCTTTTTCCTTAAAGTGGATTCAAGGAGTAATTACTATATATATCACTAGTCTACTCCTCGTATATTATAAAATTTTTTATAAGTTATGGTTAGCCAAATCCATTTTAAGGATTTGTTAACGAGGTTTATACTTTAGTGGATATATATCGGGCTTTTTTTTCCCCTTTTTAAAGGAGATATTCGAGTTTGAGATCTTTTGAAAGCGAGAAGAACTATAGCTCATTTGGTTTATTGAGCTGATGCTTCACCACTTTGTTTGTAATTAAGTACGTATTTGGTAATGTGTTTGGAACGAAATGATATTTTTTTTAAGATGTTTTTGAGTAGTTTTGATATGTTAATAGTAGTTTTGATATGCTAATAGTTGTTTTGATATATTAATGTCGAAAGCATCAATTTAATGATTTTTCAATTCAAATGCATTCTTACAGAAACATTTACACTGCATTGTTAAACTAATCGGGCACTCAAAGTTTATTGATCTTTGGATATTATTCTTCATTTATTTATTGAAAGATGGTCTCTTTTATCGTCCAAAAACATCTGTAAATTCGAACTTGAGACCTTCAAGTTGGAAGTTTCAAATTTAATTTTAATTTTACTAATTTTGAGAACCTTATACTCTATATGGGTATAATTGATAGTTAGACCCATGGTTTTGTGACCTGGATTAAATTTAGTAGTAATTAAGAGGAACAAGCTACTCTAACTGAAGATGTTAGCTATGACTTTGGCGAATCAAATGCCTCATATTAATTGGGTTTTGATTATACTTAAAGTGTAACTTGCTTTTTTAGGCACAAAGAAATCAAGAAAGTAAAGACTACAGCCTCACGGGGCAAACATAAGCCAATCAGAATTCAACAAAACCTCCAATCACCCGGAGAAGGTCATGACAACTTGGACGGGAGCCTGTTGATGAGCCCCCAAATATCTGCAAGGAATCGGCACAAGATTTCTCCTCATGCGCAAGACATGACTAATCGTGCAAGAAAAAATACCGCTCAACGCAACTTATGAATATTTAGCCAACAGAGCTTGCATGGCCCGGGAAGCCATCCTTGTTGGTTATCAGTCAGCCACCTGAGATGGGATTAGACGTGTTGCCTCTGCTCTCCAATAACTTCGTTTTCGGTAGTCCTCTCTCATACCCCAAAAAGGATGGTATAACTATCTCCTCCCACCGGAATTCATGGCACGGGACAATGCAATGGAGATGAAGTTTCGTAAGAAGTAATAGCAGTAACAAAAATGTGCATGTACCATTGGATTAATTTTCGTTGAAAGCAACAAGAAATGCGGTGAATCGAAGTTTGATATTAAAGGTAAACCTCCAGTTGAATGAAGTCTTGCGCTTTATCATCTGATTGGGAACATTTGATCCTCTGCTCTCCCGGTCTTATGATTATTGTGGAAAATGGACCGGTACTTGTGCATTAGCCTTACGTGGCTTTACAAAGGAGGGAGGCTTAAAACACAACACTCAGGTTTTTATGGTTGATGGGGCAACCTAATTAATTACCAACCCAAATTGATAGTGACGGGATGAAATTAGATGGTCATTATTTATGGCCATTCATTGAGTTAAGAGATTTATGTGAAGGAATAGGAGCTGAGATTTCTAGAACTTTGGAGTAAATATTATTAACTCTGAAGGACCAGTTAAGAGAAAAAAAAAAAAAAAAGTTAAATGGGGTTAAAGTGAAACAGACGAGGTTGGGTTTTGTAGATTATTGTTTTTGTGAATTACTTTCCACCATACTAGGACGACGTATCTAGTCCAGAAAAAAAAAGAAAAAGAAAAAGGAAAGTCCTATAATACCACTTGGGTTTTCTTTTCGGTACATAATAATACCATTTCTTTTTCATAGAAAAGAGCCATAAATCCACGGAATTATTGATGTTATGTATATATAAATGTTAAATGATTCATTAGTGACCCCGACCGTACGTGGATTTATGAAACCACACTCTTATTATTTCTATAACTATTAGTTCCAATTTTTTCATATTCTGAAAAACGATTACACATATATGATATATACCAATTTTTATTGTTTTTTGCCAGTTCAAATTGTCTTTGCCCCTGAATTATTGATGTTGTTGTACATTAAAGCCTGAAATATCAATTATTTTAATTTTATCATTAAACTATAATGTTTTAGATAAATATTGTTTCTCCTTTTAATTTTTTACCATTATCATTGACCAAAAATCTTTTTAAAAAATTCATTTTTTGTATTTTAAACTGATATTTTTCATAGATGATAAAAATAAAAAATAAAAATTCAATCTACTCTCACAAATAATTTCAAATTTTTTTAAAGTCAAAAATTATTTTTTATAATATTTTAAACAATAAAAATTCAAAATTTTCATGTTTAAGAAAAATTATTTTTTATTTTTTATAATTTTTTAAATATACATTGTTTATGAAAAATTAAAAATACTTCCTTGTCTTAATTTTTTTTAAAATTATTTGTGAAAATAGATTGAATTTTTATTAGCATGAAAAATTTCATCTCAAAATACAAAAAATTAATTTTTTATTTAAAAAACTATAGTCAATGATAACACTAAAATTATACAAAGAGACAATATTTGCTCACAACATAATAAATAGTTCAAAAACAAAAAATTTAACTAAATTAATAATACATGCTTTAATGTGCCACAATTATAATAATTATAAGTAAAAAATTGTCGTTAACCGTTTTCTGTCTGTATTCAATCTTTCAAGGATGTAAAATCAGACAAGAGGGGTTCAATAATGCAAGGAGCAAATTTCATCAAATGATAAATATCAAACAAGTTTTGGATCCATATGGCAGGGACCACATACATGGAAGCGTACTATAAGTTTTCAATTATTATTAATATCAAACAATTTCTATCCTCAACCCAAGGGAATCGATCATATGGTGTTTCCCTCTTCAGACGTTGGATACTTGAAAAATATCAGACCTCAAAACTTATATATATTAGAAACTAATAATGCTAAAAAGTCAATCATAATTATTAACGGATGCATGCCACCAATAATCTGCTGTGAGACTGGGATTTCATCAATTGAATTTTCCTTTCCTGTCGTAAAAGAGAAAGAGGCCATCACCATGAGTGTCGTTTTCAATTTAACATATATGTTCTGAGATCTGAATCAAATATTAAATGGACAGATAACCATGGGACTCAAAAATCATGGGAGAACTATTTCTTATATATTTTACACCGCTATAACTTGAGCTTAAATAAACCTCTCATATAAATTAATTTTAAAAAAAAATCTGAGAGTAAATCTTTGATACAATAGTTTTAATCTTCTTCTTTTTCTCTATTCTCTAGTTCACTACAAAATAAATAAATAAATAAAAAATTAGCGATTCCGCAAAATTCGTTGCTAATTTTAATTAGTGATGGTTTTGCGACGGTCCAAAAACCGTCGGTAAAATGCCAATCGTTAAAATAAATTAATATGTATGAAATAACGTTATAAACTAATTAATAACTTACATGGATAACTCTATATCGTTGATCGACGAAGACATATTGATCATCAATCTTTCTCGATGAGTCCTCAAAAAAATCTCGTGAGGATCGGGTTCACAACACAACACCTCACATTGAAATAAATAAACATAAATGTACTAAATATATTCAAATATTTAATTAATTATTTTGATATCATTATAAAAAAAAATTATATATATATACCATGTGTATTATGTGCTCTCTATGGCTGATCGGCCCCTTGTATGTCTTGAAGGACCGAACTCTACGCCACCAGTCTCACTCTTGCGATTCCACGCCGCCATCTCGGATCCGGCAATGGCCTCAAGTTTTGCCCATTTCGTACTCCATGCATCCCATATGTCTTGTGAGATAAATGTTGGCTTCGGGCTTCTCTTGATACAACAAAGAAAGTCGAATATCGCTTTCGTGTCGGACTTTCCACGTTTTCTTAAGTTTTCTCTCGATGTTATTATCTAAATTAAATGATTTACGCAAGAAAAATAATAATATTCATTAGTACATTTAATTGAATATTATTATTTGTTATTTAAATATGACGTAATATAATAAATTAATTAAATAAATTAGTACCTTAAACTCTTTTCGGTAGAAGTCTTTTGCTTTCAAACTCATGTTCTTCCACGTACATCCGGAAATATGAACATACTCGTGGAATATCTTATAGATCGTGTGAGCGCAAACATCGAAGGATACAACCTATATGAAAATAGACATTAATTTAACAAATAAATGAATACATAATTATGATAATAAAGAAAAAATATGTTTCATAAAATTAATGAACTCATTGC